CAACACAGCCACCACGGTAGCTCGGGCCCTCATTCTCTCTTGCCCATACTATTGCAATAACTTCCTAATTGGTCTCCCTGCTTCATGTCTGTCCCCATCCTTCACACAGCTGTCAAAGTGATTTTCCTAAAGTGCAGACCTGACCATGTCACTCTGCTATTCAATAAATTCCAATGGCTTCCTATTATTTCCAGGATCAAATATAAACTCCTCTCTTTGGCATTTAAAGTCCTTCACAACCTGTTTCCAACTTACTTTTTCAGCCTCATTACACATTTTTTCTTCCCTTTAACACAGTCTACAGTCTAGCCAAACTGACCTTTTTACTATTTTTCATACATCTAACTCCATCCCTCATTTCCATGCTTTTGAATTGATCACTCTATGTGCATGGTATATCTTCCCTCCTCACCATTCTCTTTCAGAATCCTAGTTTCCTCTAAAGCTCAACTTAAGACCTCACTTTCATAAAGCCCATCTTAATCCCCCCCAGCTGATATCTTCCCTTCCCAAGATGTTTTGTTGTTGCTTATTGAGTCATTTTTCCATTGTGTCTGACTCTTCTTGACCCCATTTGGGTTTTTCTTGTAAAAGATACTGGAGTGGTTTGCCATTCCCTTCTCCAGCTCATTTTGTGGATGACGAAACTGAGAAAAAGAGGGTTAAGTGACTTGCCCAGGGTCACACAGCTAGTAAGTGTCTGAGACCAGATCTGAACTCAGGAAGATGAGTCTTCCCGACTCCAGGCCTGGTGCACAGTGCCATCTAGCTGCCCCCCCCCCCATTACCCTGTATACCCTACATACCTATACCAATATACCTGTATACCTATATACCTATGTGTATCTAGGCAATTGTAGCACAAATAGCCTCTCTCACAAAGATTCTAGATACTATCAGCAAACCTTTAAGAGAGAAGAAACAAAAGCTTGGGTCACTATGGCATAGTGGATAGTATGGGCTTGGAGTCAAGAGGACCTAGGTTCAAATCCTGCCTCAGACAATGTGTGATTGTGAGCAAGTCATTTAACATTCTCTGAACTTCATTTTCCTCCTTTGTAAAATGAGGGAGATTGGACTTGATGACATCTGAAGTCCCTTTCAGCTCTAAACCTATGATCTTGTCATCTTGGGAGAGTTAACTGTCATAGCTGAGAGTCTGTGTGAGGATTGAGAGAGGGCTGAGACAATTTCTTGGAGAGTTAACTGTCATGGAAAATGAGATTGCAAGAATCCACGAGAATTAGCTGTCATCTCCGAGAGTATGAAGAGACACTTTGAGAGAACTGAGTTTAACTCTTATTCTGTGTAGAAGACACCATGAGGTAACTGAATTGTTGGACTGGGATTCCATTGCTATGGAGAAGTCAGCAGGTAACAGCATTGTTTATAGTTGACTATGGCTGTAACCTTTCTCAAGTATATATAGTATAATTATTGACAAAGTTTTTTTTTCCTTTGAGCAACATTTTAGTTTATATGTTTGTTTAAGCCCATGAAACTATGGTTTGAGATCAAAAGAAGAAAGAAAGCTTACGGAAAAAGAGATTTCTCTTCTTAAAAAAAAAATCAATGTGGTTGCTCACAGCTAATTAATTAATCTCTTAGTTTATCATTTGTGGGAATGTATGAGAAAATATCAGGACATACCCCTTGATTGCCTTCACACCTGTATGAGAGAATTAATAAGGTAACAAGTCAAATAGCTGGATGAGTGGTGGGAGTTTCCTGTTTGTCCCTAAGAAGACACTGTTGGTTTGTCACCTGGTATCTGTGAACTCATTTAAAGAAAATGTTGTAAGTCTATATTAATAAAATTGGCTTCCTTTTTAATTCTGTGAACTTTATATTATGCTTTTAAAAACACCATGGTGGGAAGGAGTCCATTGACATGACCAGATTTCCAAAGTGGTCCATGACACAGAAAAGGTTAAAAATTCCCACACTGGAAATATTGGTCTCATCTAACAACATCCTCCCCACCCGAACCTTATAGCCTCTTTCATGGGACTGTTACAAAGTGTGTTAACAAAAAGTCTGTCTTCACATGGGGTATAGCACAAAGCTTGACTATACCTATATGTTACCTTCTTTGGTGAGATTATAAATCCTTCAAAAGTAGGGACTTCTAAAATTTTTGTCTGTGCATCCCCAGTACCTGGTACATCCTAGTCACTTAATAAATGCGTATTGATTAATTTATTGATGTGTACCTGAATATTCACATTAGTTAATTTATTTCTTGACATACTTCTGTTGTGTGGGTGAGGTGATATCATTATTGCCTTTTCTTCAATCAGCACATTGAGTCTCAAAGAAGTAATTCACCCAACGTCACACTACTGGTTAGTAGCAAAGGTAGACCTCTCGTACCAGAATTGTTTCGACGATACCCTGTAACCATCTTCAGGATCCATTTCATGAGACTACCTTGGAGGTGCAATTGCGTAAGTATCTCCCCTCAGTATTTCAGTAACTGAGCCCACCGCCTTGAATGAAATAATAAAAGCAACCCACTTTATAATAACAAAGTCAACAAACAATTTGTACATTTATTGTATTTACTGTGCAGAAAGCACTATGCTTGGAACTAGAGGAGATACAAAGTTTATATAAGGCATAGTCCCAGCCTCCATGGAGCTAACAGCCAAGTGGAAGATGTGAGATATACACAAATAACCATACACAAAGTCAGTTAGGTGGCACAGTAGACAGCCCATTGTGCCCAAAGTCAGGAAGACTCATCTTCCTGACTTCAAATCTAGCCTCAGACCTAGCTTTGTGACCCTGGGCAAGTCACTTAACCCTCTTTGTCTCAGTTCCTCATCTGTAAAATAAGCTGTAGAAAGAAATGACAAACTACTCCAATATCTCTGCCAAGAAAACCCTAAATGAAGTCAAGGAGCATTGGATATGCCTGAAACAACTCAACAACAACATCCATACATAACAACTACATCAGAGAGGTATAAAACACTATTGGAAGTTGGGGAGGGGAATGGAGGGAAGGTGTCGTTACTAATTGGGAGAAACAGCAAAGGCTTCCTGGAGAAGAGAGTATTGCATTTCAATAATCCAATACTCTAAGGTTTTCTAAGCCCTTTACACGTGTTATTTCATGTGACCCTCCCAGCATACCTATGAGTCAAGTGCTATAGGCAGGGGTGTACTGGTACATATTTAACAACCGGCTCTTTGAAAATTGAAGGACATACTTTTAAGTTTAATCTTTATGATTGATGTTTTCTCCATCACTTTCTTATGTTAAGCAATCAATAAAACAGTAAGTCAAGCCCTGATCTGTAGCTCTGGTTGATTTCTGAGGTGTAAATGCTCACTGCTGAAAATTTTACAAGTGGCTTTCCTAAGCTGGTAAGAGCTGGTTGCAGCATACTCCTAGATTACAAACCCCAGTTGATAGAGGAGTAAACTGAAACTCAGAAAGGTTGACATTTGGAAGAACACACAGCTAGTGTTGGAAGCAGGTTGTGAACCGAGTTCTCTACTGGCCCCAAGTCCAATACTTTCTCCTATATCATGCTATCTCAATTAAGCACCTACAAAGAGTAAAACACTTTTCGCTTGAGCTTTTAGGGATAAGAATTCAACATTCAGCAGAGATGGAGGGACGAGGAGAATGGCTTTGGAGACATGAGGAACAGTGTAAGCAAAGGCAGGAAGGTGGTAGAGTCCACTTTCACAGAAGCAAAAAATACATGAAGATAAGTGACACAGTATGCCTTACCCTAAAGATAATCAGCATTAGAGCAATGCTCTAGGTTCCAGGGTAGTAAATTACTCAAACATTCATTAAGTACTTACTGTACACAAGACCTCAGGGGAAGGATATTTCAATGATAATTATACAATACAATGGAAGACAGAATGCAGAGAGGTGAAGGCGGCCTGAAAACAATTACCGAGCAAAGAAGACAGCAGCATAATGCAGAGGAAAGAGTACTGGATTAGTAGTGCCAAGATCATGATCCAAATCCTGAATTTTACATGCTGGGTGTTTCTTCTGTCCCTGAGGCCTGTCCCTCCGATTGGCTGTCTCCCAGAACCTCTATATTAAGGAAGAGACCCAGGCATCCATTCCTTTCCAGGCTGCACTCCTTACACTACCAGACATTCTCTATAATGCCCCCGTGTTGGTGACCTTCATCTTTCCCTTCCTCTCCCCCACTTTTCAGCTCCCTTTTATGTGTTCTCTTCTCCCATTGGAATATAAGTTACTTGAAGGCAGGAACTGTCTTTCTGCCTGAATTTGTATTCTCAGCACTTAGCATAGTGCCTGGCACATACTAACCACTTAACAAATGCTTGTTGACTTGACCTGTGTGACTTTGGACAAGTCACTTAAATTTTCTACGCCTCAGTTTCCTCAGCTGCAAAATAAGAGGTTTGGACTTGTTGACCTTTAACTTCTCTTCTCTTTCTAAGTCTATTATCCTATGATAGTTGAGTACTAGGCCATCGCCAATTGTCTTGACCTTGTGCCTTGCCACTGGACTGCAATGACTCTGGAGGAGAGAGGGTGGTTGATGACTTTGCATACCTCTGCCTCACTTAAATCCAATTCAGGTGCAAATCAAGATATCATCCTCCTGGTGTCATGGATCCTCTTCCACACTGAAGGACCAATAACAAACAATTGACTACAGACTAAAAAAGACTTAAGGACTGAAGGGCACCAAATATAGAAGTGATGAAAGTGAGAGGAGGGAATTTGGAGATGTTTCTATGAGGCTGGAATAGTCTTGGGTTATGAGAGCAAAACAACATTTCTTGCTGACCATTGGACTCAGAGTTAGGAAGAACTGAGTTCAAGTCCTGCTTCAAATACTTCCTTCCTGGTGTGACTCTAGGCAAGCCATTTAATCTCTCAGCTTCAGTCTCCACAACTGAATAATGAGGATTATACCAGCACCTACTTCCCAGGGCTGTAGAAAGGATCGAACAAGATAACACGAATAAAGGGCTCTGCAAACACTATCTAAGTGCTCACTTTGGCAGCACGTTTGCTAAAATTGGAAAGACAGAGAAGATTGGCCTGGCCCCTGTGCAAGGATGCCGTGCAAATTCACAAAGCATTCCGTATTTTTTTAAAATGCTATATAAATGTGAGCTGTTATTACTGGGGGAGCGATTTGAGAAAAGATATTGAGATGTTAGTTAGCCAGAAAAGAGTGGGGGCGAGAAAGGTGGGGAGTGGGGAGAGCTTTGGATAAGGATTCAGATGGCAGAGGATGGCATCTGAGGTCTGCTACTTACAACGTATTTTGGGGCAAAATACTTTTGTTCTGTGCCTCAGTTTCCTTACCTGTAAAATAGGTTTTGAACTAGATGATCTCTAACATCTTATTTTAATTCTTTGATTGTATTAATGCTAAACAAGTTGGTTTGGCTAGAGCTACAGAGCTGACTTCCATGCATTTTGATAACCAGCCTCCCTTACTCTCAGTCACCACCCACCCACCCATCCACACACTCCATCCTCTAAGTGAACCCAAACATATGCTGCTGACCCTAAACTCAGATGACTAGACTATCTGTCCTGAGGAAATCATGCTATATTCTTAATACTACCTAGTAGTAATGTCATTAGGATGTTAGATAACTTTGGGATGCTGACTCTGTCGTAGAATTCGTTAGTTATTGCTTCTGGCTCATCCTCTGAGAGGCTGTGTGACCAAATGGATAGAGTACTGGATTTGGATCCAGGAAGACATAGGTTCAAACCCATCTCTGACATGCAAGTCACTTAATGTCTCGAAACTTCAAGTAACCTTAAAGATCATACAGATGAGGAAACTGAGGCTCATAGGGATTGAG